AAATACATTTTGCCTTCTTCAAAGCCAACTTCCCGCTATATGATATCATTCAAATACAAATATGTCTAATTAATTTATCCACATCAGATAAGACATTTCACAAAATTACAGAACTGAATGTGTTGTAGATGTATGGAGTGTCTTCAGATACACTCCTTGAGGTATGGAGCTTTCCTAGTACCACAACCCAACAAGGCTTAGAGGTGGGGGACCAGGTTTTTAGTAGCACTGCTTTTTAAAAGGGGAAGCTAGCCACAGGGCAACAGAAAGGAAAGCAAGTTCTGCTGTGAGAATGAATAACTTGGGCAATGCATTCCCAAGCGTTCTGTAAATGATTCTCTTATTGCTTATCTCCCAAGTCACTGTGGAGAGGTTTATGGAAATGGAACTACAGTGGTACAATTTCACTGAAAAAGAGCTATCACTTGAAAGAAGAAGGGGACAGCATAGCTCTTTTACTGGAGGTACACTAGCTCTACCCTTAAGATAACAGTGGAGATGATATTGATGATTTTCACTGTTTCAGAAACAGCATCATAGCCTATAGATTTCATCCATCCTGTCATAACAAGGGCTACTAAGCAGATCTCAACTGATCTTTGTGTGCCAGACAACATAAACATGATGAGCAATATGCCATGGGTAGAGTGAAGACCGAGTTCTTATAAAGCCGAGTCCAGTAATATTTCCACTACTCAGAAATACACCTATTATGCTTTTGCTAACAGTAAACTATGAGGAAGATAAGTACTTTCACAACAGAATACTCAGTCCAACTTGAATATGAAATCTAGAAAACTGAGGAAGAGATAGGGACTGTATAGCCCTGCATATGGACTAAAATTCTCATAAGCCCCTGACAACACAGCCAATAGTGACAGAGCATGGGGGTTGCAGCACAATAACTAGAGGGTCTCATGTTCCCCATTCCTTACCTTCAGATAATGATATACTTGTTATGAAACAAATGTATGTTTTCAAATGTCATAACTTGCTGTGTAATAAATAAAGGCTACACATAAACAATACAGGAGCTAGAATTTTTATGGGTGGTGAGGAAAAGGTAGTAAAAATCCACTTTTAAAACATTTATTGTTGTTGTTGTTTTGACTTATATATCACCTCCTAGTGCCAGAGAACTCTCTGGGCAGTTTACAACATAATTATGCAAGTAACACTTTGCCTCCCAGCAAGTGGTGTACTCAATTTACTGACCTCGGAAAGATGGAATGCTGAATTAACCTTGAACCAGATACATGAAAATTGTCAGGATCAAACTTAAGTCATGAGCAGAGCCTTAACTGCAGTACTGCAGAATATAACTGTGAGAATAATAATTAACTTATATTCTGTGCCACTTTCAGTACTGCCAAATAAAAAACTAAAATCCAAATTCTACCTATGAGCAGGCAGAAACCAGTATTTCTTTTAAGTATCCACGTACTTCTTCTATATAAGCACTCAAATGAAGGAAAAAAGACAGGTGGTATTTCAAGAGAAAGCATAGCTCAGACCAAAGCACAATTGGAGTGCTAATCAAAACTGAAATACTGTAAATATCCAAAGCTAAGGGGAACAGAAAATTCATACATGCAAGCAGTTGCCACCATCAAGGCCAAGGGAGGGATTAATCCAGCTATTCTGCCCACTGATGTGGGATTTCTATAAGCACCCCATAATGTGATCCATGTGAAAATTAATCTTGTTATCTTCCTAAGCCACCATATACGTTTGTTGTTATGTGCCATCAAGTCAGAATTGATGTATAGCAACCGTAACAGAGTTGTCAAGGTAAGTGAAGTACAGTATTTAAGGAGTGACTTTACTAGTTCCATCCCCCAGTGAGTTTCTGTGGAGGAGCCAGGGATTGAATCCAGCTCTCCAGAATCCTAGTCCATTACTCTTATCTACTACACCACACTTGGTTGAGGTGAAGCTTCCCCTTGACATTTAGTCCAGTCATGTCCGACTCTAGGGCACGGTGCTCATCCCCATCTCCAAGCCGTAGAGCCCGCGTTTGTCTGTAGACCATTTCCGTGGTCATGTGGTCAGTGCGACTAGACACAGAACGTTGTTACCTTCCCACCGAGGTGGTACGTATTTATCTACTTGCATTTACATGCTTTCGAACTGCTAGGTTGTCGCAGCACAGAGGCTTCTGTGGTTTAACTTGCAGCAGCACTACGTCCTTCACATTTGGTACCCCACCACATAAGTAGCAGTCATTTTTAAATAGCCTTTAGGATGCAGTCCAGGAATTAAATGCACATAGACCGATTTCATTACCTTGTGACTGCAGTCTTCCCGTGCCAAGTGCAATAAGGAAAATGACAGCATAATTCTGTGCCTATTTACTCAGAAGTCTCACTGACTTAAATGTGGTTGCTAGAAGACTCATTAAATCAGAAGGATTTACACAAACAACCTACTATTAGTCTAGTCTAGTTAGGATTAATGATTGCACTTAGGCTTCTGTGCTCAATGGGAAACACTGCCCACAAACACTATTTTAAGGACTGCCACCCAATCTTCCATCTTGCATCTTAGAAGACAGACAATTTAAAGAAGCAGTAGAATAAAGGCTAAAAATAATACATGTGCTGGCTTTATAACTTTTGCTATGTCAACGATGATCTGGAACTTTGCTTTTTATTATTTTGCTTTTTATTACTGAATTGTCTAGAACTGCTACATGTATGAGTACATACTGCACAAATAAAACAATCCTTTTGTCAAGACATCTTTTGTAAAAAGCTGAGCTACATGTGGGAGTGCAAGAAGCATATGTTAAGTAGTCCGTCTAATTAAGAAATAGCTTTTTTAAGCAGGCTGAATAGTTTTCATGTCACTTGTTTATAATTCTATTACAGTATTTTGCATATTTATAATTTTAAGTACAAGGTTTGCTCTAGAAGGAGAATGATTTTATAATTTTAAAGGTTACAAAATATTTAAATCAGCCAAGAAGACCCCAAGCCTTTGGTAGTGAGTTGCTGTGGAAATCTATTCACCTCCCTTTCACTCCCCTCCTAAATGTGTGCAAGTAATAAATATTGAGACATATAGTCTGCTTCTCTTTCATACCAAGTGTCTAATTCTTGTGCTGAATCTTACACGGCATCCACTAGTTCAAAACAACTCTAAGCATCTCTTTAGTTCCCTAGCCTTAAAATAAATACATTTTTAAAAGGAAGAAATTCTAACTACTACATATAATAGGTACTTTATACCCACAAGTGGATAGGAAATTCACAATGTTTTCTACAGACATTCAGTGCTGTGGTGCAGCAGTTTGCTTTATAAGAGTCAGTGGAATAGTGTACTGCATTACAGGGGGATCTTGGCTCTGCAGGACTGCATATACTAAAGAAAGTGCCTCCTCAGATGTATTCTATCTAAAAGACATCTAAAGAGAAAAGCCAAAGGTGTTCCTTATTTTAACTCACTGACCCTTAATTCACCACATCACAGCCTATTAGAGCATAGTAGCAATCTATTATGTCCGGCATTACCACTCCAAACATGTCGTTTCTTATCATTTTGGCTTGCCAACCTTAGTATGGGTTGCTCCCCTTACAAGTTTACAATTAAGAGAACTCTCTTATCTAGGTGGATATGCATATACATGAGAAAAAATATTTTGAGATTTCATGTAGGTGGTTTCTTGTTTAGCGGGGTTTCACAAGATGCTGACAAAAGAATACTGAATTAGACTGCTCTTAAGACAGAAGAGCTACTGACTGACTGACAAGATCTATAGAACTATGAGGAGAAACCTACTCTGTAGAGCCACAGCAGTTGCTGCATTTAAAACATATCTGTTTTATGGAGCTAATGGACACAAGAGAAATGTTTTGTTTTATGAAATTTGAGAAATCTTCTGGCAGGGTTTATTTCTGTAGAGTGAGGATGCAGAGAATAAAGTATTTATGTTCTGTCAGTCTGACTGAAGGCAATTAAGTTGATGCAATTGGCTGTCTCTGTCCCATTAAATAAATATCTGCTCTAAACACCTTTAGTCTCATTTCTATAATGCTTATTAAAATTCTCAATTCCCAAAACTGCACACTGAAAGCGTGGAATTCATTCTAATACCACCATATTCTCTGAACACAAGCAGTACAGGGAAGTAAAAGAATAATATTTAGCACTGGTGACTCAATACCAGATGGAGGTCAGGACTCACAAAATCTTTAGTGAGACTTTTTTTAAAAAAATGTGTCTTGTCATGTCACAGTGGTGCTGTCTCTGACGAAATTTCTTTTTCCTAGAACTGTAACATTTATTATATCAAGATAGCATAGCTCTTAGGGCTAGACATTTTCAATGTCCACTATGGGGGCCTGAGGACCCCCCCCCCAGTTTTCCAAGAAACTCCCCAAACCATCCCACACTCTGAGGGGCCACAGGAACAACTGTAACAACAACACACATTATGATCTTTACTCTGTATTGTTTGAACGGTTGTTAAGTCAGTGGGAGGAGGAGAAACTTGCCATAAATTGACCTCTGGTTTGCAGGGGAGGGGGAATCTCATTTGTTTGGCCAAGCTACACTCTAGGCTTATGTCTTTTGCCCAAATTTTCTGACTTCCTCTCCTTTATCGGATTAGATATAGTAAATCCCCTGGACCAAACTGTCAATCAAACACTGGAAAGGTGGGCACACAACCACGTTGCTCAATCGGGGTCCAAATCCACCCAGGGGCAGGCTAGGGATCCTTCTGCTTTCCAAGAAAGGAGGGGAGGGGGCTGCCGGGCATGTGGGTGGGCATGGGGCAGCCATCCCTGGCGCATCATCTTCACCAGTCTCATCCTGACCAGGGGGCATTTTACCCTTTTCCAAAGGGTGGTCTGTGTCCACAGCCTGCAGGATTCATGCACAGTCCCTTTTGCCCGGTCTCTGGGCGGGCTGCCGGGCTTGCGTGTGTGTGTGGGTCTGCTTGCCTCCCCAACACCGCACCCGTTGTTGTGATGATGGCGGCGGCGGCATCTCCTTACCTTCATCCTCGAGCTCCAGTTTCTCCAGCATCCCTTCGGAAGCGGCCGGGGGCTGAAGCGGAGCTGCCTGCAGGAAGGAGGGCGGGAAAGGAGACACAAGAAGAGAGAGACGGCGGGATCAGCGGCATCCAGGCGCGGAACTCACCGGACCCACGGCGGCGGGAGCAGCAGCAGCAGCAGCATCCGCCTCATCATCCGCCTCCCCTGGCGGCGGCGGGGGGCGAGAGCCCAGTGGGCGGGTGGGCAGGGCGCCCAGGCAGGCACGGCCAGAGAGATGCTCCGAGCGCGGCCTGGACGAGAGCGGGCTGGATTGGCGACGACGGAAGCAGCCCGGCCGGCGGGGAGGGCGGCGACGACGAGGAGGAGGAGGAGCCGCCGAGGCCGTCGGGGGCTCGCCGGTCAGTCGGCTGGCTGGCTGGCTGGCTGGCGGGCCTCGCTCGCTTTCCCCCCCTCCGCCCTCACGCTCTCCTCAGCCATTAACTCCTTCGCCGCCCAGCCAGGCCCGGCGACACCGAGCGCCTGTCCCGTCCCGCCCCCTTCCAGAGCCGGCCCCGCCGCCGCCCCCCATCCCACAGGCTCCCTTCCCCGCCTGCCCGCGCCGCCTTTTCCCTCTTCAGGGCAAACCCTGAGGGAGCCGCGGCGCCCGCGTCCGTTAACGGCCAACGGCCGCCCAGAGAACGTTGGAAAATCCCACCTTGGTGCCCTGCCCAACCACCCCCATTTTTCGAAAGGAAGGGCCAGTGGAACATTCCATACTTTCACCGTCTCGCAAGCCCTCGCCGGTCTGCCTCGAGGAAAGGACGGCCACTACCACCTGGCATTTCTTAAAAAGGGGAGGAGAACTTGGGCTCAATTTTCCCTTCAGGCTGGCTCGCCAGAGCTCGGTTTTCTTTCCCTGCTGGATCCGCGCGGGCAGTCCGTCAGACCGGTTCCGGTTTATACGGCTACTTTTAAGGGGAGAAGGCTTACACTGGAGAAACTCCCCCCCGTCGGTGTTGGTATTGCCCAGTCTCTCTTCACCTGCCAGGGCAGTAACCTAGAAAGCAGGCTGCACCACTACTCTGATGTAGGGGGAGACGTTTAAGCGCTGAGTGGGCATTACGAATGGTTTCTATACATACATCTTTTTGTCGGTATAAGCTAGAGGGGAAGTGTTCTTCTGGCTGTACAAGTGGTTTTCTATAGGTGTCTCAGTGTCCCCACCGCTTGACAGGTGGGGAAGCTTATCAAAAGGCCCCACCCTTTCATTTAGGTGTCATATTCACTGGCCTTGCAACCATCACCCCCCCTAAAGTATAGCCACATATCAAATTACAATTATTTATTGATACAATTTTATATGCACTGCTCCCAACCCAGGGATGGGACTGAGCTGTTTTTAATTAATGGCTCAGTATTACTGCAAATCATTCATACACATGCATAAATACTTACCACTGCTATTGTTGTTCTGAACAGTAGGGTGCTAAAAGGAATAAACTAATGCATAGCACATGGGCTTGGGTATACACAGAAACATAAAATAGATTACACATGGTGTTGTTTCTTAGTTTTTCTAATTTCTGCAAAGGGTTTGGTACTGCCAACAGAAATGAAGGACTGCTTACATGTGCATTTTACCATTCATGAGTCCATTGGTTAACATTTTATAAATTCTATCTTGAATTGTCAACTAGTAATACCGGCCCAGTTGGCTGGACAGCTCGGTGGTTTAGGTACCTGGCTGCGGAATCAGAGGTTGGGAGTTTGATTCCCCACTTCGCCTCCTGTGAGTAGAGCCAGCCTGGGTGGCCTTGGGCCGGCTGTGAAGTTCCAGGATGCCTCCAGAAGGGAATGGTACCAGGAAAACTGGGAAAAGGGTCTCAGTAAGTCAGAATTGACTTTTTGGCATATTTAGTATATATGTCCAGTCTTAAAGGTCATAAAAGAGAACAAAAAATGCACTCAGGTCAAATTTAGGGTAGGTGTAAATTACATGGGTTAATTTAAACAAAAAAAAAACAGAATTAGAATTACAGAAGAATATCATATGTGGTATGATTTCACATCTTACTGTTAATGAAGATTGTTAGCTAATAATACTGCAGCCCTTAGACAACTTACTTGGAAGTACAGTACGTTTCACAGACTGCAGAAAGCTTCTAGCAAGGATCAGTTAAGTAAAAGACAGCAGTCTTATCAAGGATGAAGCCCAACTAAATTCAGAGGGACTTACTTCAGAGGAAACGTGTGGGACATTGCTGAAGTCAATTCTCAGCTTTTCAGAGAGTGAGTTTTCTTGCTAAGGCACTGTGGCTGAAGTGCTAGTGCTGTGTTCTGTGAAGTGCAGCAGACGGAGCAGGCTACGTGGGAAGAAAATACTGGAAATCGGTAGACTGCCTGATTGCCCTTGTTCTCCCACCCACTATATGTTTCATTCTTACCCTATTTTTCTTGCAAGCTCCTCTGGGCATATAGCTGCACAATAGCCCTAAGAAATACACTCTTCCTCTTAACCCTCCAAAATCTAGTTTTGCTGTGATATCATTTGCAAGGATAAAAGCCACTGGACACTGAGGGGGCAGTGATGGAAATCTTCTCTTCCGAATGCTTTGGGAGTTATCAATTTGGTATTCAAAAGACATTTATTGTTGCGAAAGTAACATTTAGCTTGTTACAAGTTTTGTTCCGTGAGAGAGAGAGAGAGAGAGAGAGAGAGAGAGACTGAAGCAGAGTCTTCCCGCAGGGCTGGGATGCACTCCGGAGGCTTCTGTTTGCTCTCAGCCACTGAACTTCAAGGAGAGTAATTGTATCCCTCGGAAACAATTTCTTCCTCTCCTGCTGAGCTGTGGCAGCCGATACCACTGCCTGTTAGGAATGCCCCCAAATGCAGCACTTCAAAAGGAGCCACTGTAGCCATGCAAACCCTGCAGGAGACCAGCGCACAAAGCAATAGCTGCAAAAGCTCTGCAAGTCCAAAATGCAGGAGATTACCCATAATTAAAACAGGGACACTAGGTATTTGTTACTGACATCAGGACATAAACACAGCTGATACAATGCCCCAAAGAATACACATTCTGAAAGCTATGCAAGAAAGAAGGGGAAGCCTCGAAAAGATCTGGTACCCATCTGGTGATTTTTGCACATAGAACCAAATTTTCAAGTCACTTGCATGCCAAGGATCCCAGCTGCCTGATGCCTCCACCATCACCGGTGTCACACAAAGGTCAGGCAGACGATCTTGGGACAGCAACAATACTAGAAGCAGGTACGATACTTTTCAAAATTTGGATGAGAAATGGATGCAAAATTCGCTCATCTGTTAGAAGCAGAAATACACCTCAAGGAAACAAGTGTCTTTTCACTAGCTATTATAAGGCAATTAAGGTTCCTATTCTGTGGTTTTGAAAAGCCATATAAGACATATTGTAGAACGACACAGTTTTAGTTGCAAAACAAATTTCTCTAGCAGAAATTCTAGTTCATAATTCTCTCTAGGATTGTGAAGTAGTATTGCTGAATTTTTCATTCTTACCTAAACAGGTTGTCTTGACATATAAAGACAGTTGAGTGTTCATTAAGTGCCAGCACAGGAACAAGACATGCTATTTTCCTTTCTGCAATTTTTTATAGAATGCTTCTGTGCAAAAATACTGTCTTTATCTTTTGTACAACTGAACACACATATACAAGCAAACACTGAAGGACTGGCTGATTGACCAAACCCATCAGATGATTCTCATTAATAAAACCAACCCACCTGGTGATTTTCATCAATAAAAAGACAGCAATTTCTGTTACTTAGCATCACATTTGTTCTTGCAAATGCAAAATGTTGAAAATAAAAGATTCATATCACTAATTCTAATGTCCACGAGTCACGCTGCAAAAGTGTCCATACCCCATCAGCAGCTCAATATTTACATGGGCAACATAAAGAGAAGTTCAAGGACATATTTGTTATTGGCTCACCTACTATAAAGCTGCCTGGCAATGTAATAAAATGCTATGATTCTGAGAGTTATTTAACACCCTCGGTGTGACAGATGACTAGCCACATCTGTCGTAATACTTTCTAGTTATGTTCCCAGAGCAGCAGTAACAGAATAGCGAACAATATACGGCAAAACTACTTTTCCTATTATGTATACTCTGGACATTCAGAGTTTGTGCTGAACACAGCCTCGCAGAGGTCCATCTCCTAAGCAAAAGCAGATGCTTGACCAGCTTCTCTAGCAGTACGTGGCTAGTGGGCTACATCTGCCTTGTTAGGTCACATGTGGTGCATGTTTGGTATACACAATAATAGATAGTATGTGCACATTTCTTTCACCTTTGGTGAAGTCCCATTGGGCAAAATAATCTAAGTCACCTGTTCACATGCCCGATTTATTTGAATTTGTTTTCTGCTCAAATTTTCTGTAACAGTGGCCTCACTGACCTTGTGCAATCGATCTACAGTCCTTGCCAAAGAAGAGGCAGTTTTTCTGGTATCTGAACATGGCATTTAAGTTGCATCGATGTCCTTTTTTGAAGGACTGTAATTCTTACTGCACAGACAAGGCAAACCATTTTGCCTGTGTTACAAATATTTTGATCACCATTTAGACATATGATACCTAACATGTTCCCCCATTTAAGAAATGCATGTTCATAATTTTAGAAGCAGAATTTTAATTAGTGGGGTGGCGCTGTGGGCCAAACCGCAGAAGCCTGTGCTGCAGGGTCAGAAGACCAGCAGTCGTAAGATCGAATCCATGTGACGGAGGGAGCTCCTGTCGCTTGTCCCAGCTCCCGCCAACCTAGCAGTTCGAAAGCATGCAAATGCAAGTAGATAAATAGGGACCACCTCGGTGGGAAGGTAACAGCATTCCGTGTCTAAGTCGCACTGGCCATGTGACCACGGAAGATTGTCTTCGGACAAAACGCTGGCTCTATGGCTTGGAAACGGGGGTGAGCACCGCCCCCTAGAGTCGAACACGACTGGACAAAAATTGTCAAGGGGAACCTTTACCTTTTTAAGATGCCAATACCATGAGGTTCCAAAGAAAAAGTCCACGTAATTACACACAATCCAAGCCAGAA